GTACTCCTTTTCTTTTAACTGAATGAAAATCCCAGAAAGATTTTTGGAAGAGGGAGAGCAGAATCAACATACAGCAGCTCCCAACTCAGTATTTGACAAAAGTGACCCAGGGATTCCCACGTATGTCTCTTATTTTACCAGGATGGCAGAGAATCCAAAATCTGACATGAAAATATAACAGAAACAAACAAACAAAAATAAACAGAAAAGTTGGGCTTCTTTAAAACAAATCAATAGCTTAGATGCTGCTGGGAAAATAAGAGCAAACTTCAAAGCAAAGAGACTACTTAAAAGGAAGTTTAAATCTCTAGAGTTCATGAGAAATCTTAGCCACCACTAAACAATTGATGTCCTAGAGGAGAACATTTAAAAAGTCTACTTAGCAAGCTTAATAAGCTGGCAAGTGTGTCACCTGCCATGAGCAGCATATCAAAGTGCTGGCACAATGACTTAAACCACTGACGAGTTCAGTACAGGAAGAAGAAAGGTGCATGCTTCTCACGTGCTCCTCATTCTAGGTCCAGATTATCTAAATTCCACACACACTTTTCACATTGCAAAATATTTACAACAGAAATGCAGAATCATTTTAGACAGTTGTTTACACCAAAGGAATGTATCCCCACAGCATTTCCAGTTGCCTTCATGAATTGTTCTTTGTGTTCCCCATTCTGGAACTTTGACACATATTCCGTCCCATATTTGGGCCTTGGCAGATTGCAAGGCATGGGGATGTGTACAAACAACAATCTACTGTACCTGTGGAAAGACACCTAGAGCAACCCTCACAGATGTTGGGTGCAACTCCATTGCCCTTCACATTGCTAACCCCTTGATCTCCCTTGCTTGCAGGCATCAGTGGGGCTTTTTTTTTTTTTTTTGCTGACTCTTATGCTTGAAATACTCTCCCTCAATAAAGTCTCCCAAGCCAGCTGCTTCACCACAATCAAATCCCTGCTTAAAACTTACTTCTGCCATCTTGTTTATGAGAAGTGAAAGGGAATATAGGTTAAAACAGAAAGGAACTGGCCTATTGAGATGTTTTCTCACGTGCCATTGAGGGTGCATACTCCTTGGGGCACAGACTGTCCTCATGGTTTGGGGAAGCACAATTTGGGGGTCAAATTAAGAAATAATGATTTTATCTCAGTATTCAGTGCTATAAATATGCACAACACTTTAGAAACATCCAAGCCATGCTCCTAACCAAAGAGCTCAACTAGTGCCAAACATTTCATCATGCAGGGCCGGATTAATGCAGAGGCTTTAGGGACTGCAGCCCAGGGCCCCGGGCTAAGGGGGACCATGGTGCAGCAGGATTTAAGCAGGCTGCCTGCCTACCTCACACCCCTTCCTGCACCCCAACCCCCTGCCCCGGGTCAGAATCCCCTCCTGTACCCAAACTCCCTCCCAGACCCCGCACTCCCTCCCAGAGTTTGCACCCGTCACTGTCTCCTGCACCCCAACACTCTGCCCCAGTCTGGAGCCCCCTCTTGCATCCAAACTCCTTCCCAGAAAGAAACTAATATAACAGCTGTTCTAAGGTAAGAAGTAGGTTATTTTAAATTAACTTAACTATATTCTACATGTTTTAAGACTGAAATGTAATCACAGAACGGCTTTATATTAATTAAAAGGCAAGTTTAGTATAGCATTAATAGCCTTGATGCCATAATTGTGATCATCTTGTTTTAAATTAGGAAAAAGACTTGTATACAGGGACCCCACGGAATCTAATAGCCCCGGGCCCACAGGAGAGGTAATACAGCCCCGCCCCTGTGCTTTAAATGGTGAACGGTAAGTATATAACCAATCCTAGGTCAGCACGTAACCATGAACACATCACACATTTCATCTACCAGAGTAGAGGTGGGCAAACTATGGCCCGCGGGACCATCCTGCCTGGTCCCTGAGCTCCTGGCCGTGGAGGCTTGCCCCCGGCCCCTCTGCCGTTAACTGCCGTGTGGTGCAATACTCTGGGCAGCAGGGCTGCAGAGCCCGGCCTGACCTGGTCCTCTGTGCTGCGCGGCTGCCTGTCCTGGTGCAGCCACAGCCACCAGTGCTCCAGGCAGCATGGTAAGGGGGCAGGGAGTGGAGGGAGGGGGTTGGATAGAGGGCAGGGGAGTTTGGGGGGTGGTCAGGGACATGGATAAGGGTTGGGTGGTCCCACGGGGGCACTCAGGAAGGGAGAGGAGGGGTTGGATGGAGCAGGGGGGTGGATGGGGCAGAGGTTCCGGGAAGACAGTCAGGAAGGAGAGGGGGGGTTGAATGGGGTGGGGGGGCAGTTAGGGGTGAGGGGTTCAGGGGCGGTCAGGGAGAAGGGGTGGTTGGATGGGGTGGCAGGGGCAGTTGGGGCGGGGGGTCGAGGGTGGTCAGGAGACTGAGAGCAGGGCAGGATGGTTGGGGAAGGAGTCCCAGGGAGGTCGTCAGGTGGTGAGAAGTGGGGGGGTAGGATAGGGGGCGGGGTCCAGGCCATGTCTGGCTGTTTGGGGAGGCACTGCCTCCCCTAACAGGCCCTCCATACAATTTCAGAAACCCGAAGCGGCCCTCAGGCCAAAAAGTTTGCCCGCCCCTGTACTAGAGTCTGCCTGGGAAGAGTGGACCCAAATTACCGTTGCCCTGTGTTACAAGTCACCAATCTGTTATGAGTCCACCCAGTTGCCGGGTCCCACAGGCTTCCAAGTCAACTGAGTCTGGGTAGAGCCTGGTCACTGTTTCTAGTTCTGGGACTTTAGGACACACTCCCTTGATGGGACACTGCCATCCAGCTGCCCTAGACCCCCCAACCAATGTCAGACCTCCCAGTTGCTTACATACACTCCCCCAGAGTTCCACCTGGGCCATGGGTACTCTGGGCTTCTTGTTTAACCCTTCTGGGAGACTGTGGCAGGAAAGCCAGGGAATCCAGGTTTGTGCTGGGCCATTTCCAGCACAAATCCAGGTTTGTGCTGGAAATGGCCCACCTGATGATCACTTTAGATAAGCTATTACCAGCAGAACAGTGGGGTGGGAGGAGGTATTGTTTCATATTCTCTGTGTATATATAAAGTCTGCTGCAGTTTCCACGGTATGCATCCGATGAAGTGAGCTGTAGCTCACGAAAGCTCATGCTCAAATAAATTGGTTAGTCTCTAAGGTGCCACAAGTACTCCTTTTCTTTTTGCGAATACAGACTAACACGGCTGTTACTCTGAAACCTCTTAAGCAGGGTCTCTCCTCTATGCCGTATGCTTAAACTGGGAAGCTCCAACCCCCTTGCCCCTTTGTTAAGCTTGCCCCACCTGCAAACCCTGGCATAGAAAAATCATTGTTCTATGGGAGTGGGCCAGTACTTGAGTTCTTCACTCAATATTGCTCTGTGATGGTCCTTCAGCAAAGTGTTATTCCAGGGCAGAGCAACTAGTCTGGAATGCAATTCAATATGCTGCCCTCAGGCAAGTTTAGATGTGTGTTCCACTCATCATATAAAATGGAGTTAATAAATTGATACTCCACTCATGTTATACCCTGCATACACCAGTGCAAAGTAGGTATAGCAAGCTACCAAATCAGAGTGAAATGAAAGTTTAATCTCTTAATCAGTTTTGTGCCTTTGTTCTATTATAAACCAGCATAAGATATAGATCAAATATCATAGATCAAATATACAGATATTGCAAATACAATTGTGACAGTGCTCAGGGAAGGGGGGCAGAAGAGGGGGCAGGAAAAAACACATAACCCAACATCCCCCAACTAACACTACAATAACCTAGTACCCTGTATTAACATATAACATGAAGAAACATCTTAAATATCTGCTTCCTTTAAAGGACAGAACATTTTCTAGTAGTTAAAGGACAAGACAGGAAGCCAGGAGATCTTGATTCTATTGCTTGCTCTGCCACTGAAAACTTTACAGTCTAAATAGGACAAGACACACAAAAGGTATGTGGGGTGGGAAACTGAGGCACAGAGCGGTGAAGTGACTTGCCTATGGTCACACAGGAGGTCAGTGGCAAACCCAGGGACACAACTCAAGCCTCCTGACTCCCAGTCTAGTGCCATATCCACTAGCCCACAATGGGTATCCACCAAACTAGGAGGAAGAAATATAATGGGGCAAGCAGGGGGCATGCTCTGCAACCACAGGGATTATTACTGGTCCTTTAGCTCTTCCCGCACCCAGGTGGAGTTCCTCTTGGTGGCATCTACTGGCTCCTTGGATTCCTTTGAAGAGAAATGGGTGCTGTCTGGGGTTCCCTCTGCAGCCCCTTGGGTTGGAGCATACTGCTTCATACTGTAGAGTGAGGGTTCCAGCACATGGTGATATCGAGTGACCCCAGAGTGAAGGCACTTGTGTACCTAGTGATTAATCGAGCCCTGGGTGGAGAGGCCTGATCCTGCAGGAGAGAAGGTTGCAAGAATCCCAGAGGTGGATGCAGCAGTGTGGGGGTGCAAGGGGCTGGGCTCGGGGGTGGGGGGAAGGTTATAGTGTTGGAAGGGCTGATCCTAAAGAGAGTTGCAGTGGGAGTGAGGGGCAGGGGCTGCTCTTATGCATGGGTGTCTGTAAGAGTGTGGTCCTGGGGAGGGGATGGGGTATAGTTGGGGATGCTGGGGGCCCTGAGGGAAGCTTGCAGTAGGGCAGGTCAAAGGTGCTGGAATTGGGGGTGCTGCCGCACCTCCTGGCTTCAAATGGTTTCCATGAAATACAGGGCTTACAGCTGGAGTCAATGGCTCTCACCACTCCCACTATACAAATTGTTCCAGCAGCCCTGGGGCAGGTCCCAGTGGGGCTGGGGGAGCAGCAAGGGGTGGTCCCATGGCGGGGTGGCTGGAGGAGGTTGGGAGGCAGGGGGCGGTCCCAGCAGGTCGGGGGGCCCTGGAGCGGCTGTGCGGAATGGGGGGGGGAGATGTCCCAGCAGGCGGTGGGTCCCGGAGGGGGCTGTGGGGCCGGCAGGCGGACCGCAGGGCGGCTAGTCCTGGGGGGCTGGTCCCTGCGGTGGGGCGGGGCGGCGCCGGGCACAGGAAGCGGAAAGCGGCGGCGCTAGCAACTGCAGCAGCGGGGCTGGTACCGGGAGCAGCATGGAGCGGCCGCGAGAGGTGGGTGCGGGCGTGGGCGGCCCGGCTCCCCCTGCCTGGGGCTCCCCCCGGCCCGCCGCGGGGCGCGGGCTCCCCCTCCGCAGCGCTGCCCAACGCGGGGCCGGGGCTTCCGCGGGGCTCTGCCCTGCACGCGCCCAGCACCCCCGGGGCTGCTCTCGCCTCCCCGGGCTGGCCCCACATCCCCTCCCCCGGGGGGGCGGGGGTCCCGCTGCGGCTTGCGCCCCTCAGCCCTCCCCCCGCGGGGCAGGTAGCCCCAGGGGGCTGCGGCCGTGCCACCGCTTCCCCGGCTTCCTCCTCCAGCAGCCCCCCACCGTCCTGCCGGGCCTGTTCAGCCCTCGGCCCCAGCCGGGCGGGGGGTCGCGCCGGGGGTGCTCTGCGCCTGGGGGCTGGCGGCCCACAGCCCCTCTCCCATCGCGGGCCGCCCGGCATGGAGGATGGTTCTTAGCTGCTGGGCTGCATCTGAGCTCAAGGCTGGGTGGCCCCTCGGCTCAGGCTGGCAGGCATCTCGCTGCCTCTGTTAAACCAGGGTCGGGGAAGCAGTAAGCGGGCTTCTGTGGGTCTCAGCTACCCGCCAGCGTGTACTTCACTTGCACATCCTGGCTAGTAGGTGCCTGATCCGTTTGGGCACTCCACGCTTCTGGTGGAAGGGAGAAGGAGCTTTTTGTCACTTCTCCTTCCCCCCACCGCAAGCCTCCTGGCTGCTGCAAGGGTTGCCCCAGCCTCTGTTTTCTAGATCTTCTGCCTTTGCTGCTCAGAGCTTTCCCATGCAGCAGCATAAATCGGACCAGAAGTCTTGTCATTTGGCATTGCTGCCCACAGAGTCCTGAATAACAGCAGTGCACACAACTGGAATCTTGCTAACCTCAGGCAGGGCTATGAGCAGCAGCTTAGGCACACTGGGGCTTGCCTGCAGACCTGGGAAGGCAACACTGCCTTGCGCAGGGTTGCCAGGGAAAGCGTCCCACTCACCAATGGCAAGTGAATTTTTAAAGCCCTGTGTTTGGAATAAATTAGTCATTGATTAATAAACCAGTGAATTAAAACTGAGTTCAATGCTCTGCAAATATATCTTAATTCCCTGGATGACATTTAAGTTGTTTAAATTCCAAGTCTGTTTGGGTAACTGTGGGTAGGTGTATAAGACAAAAAAGCTTGTAAAGCATAATGTGATCTAGTTATACAGAACTTAGTTTGATCACTTGGACTAATGTGACAATTTATGGCTACACAGGTCTGCCTGGCTGTCTGTTAAGTTTAGACTATGGCAACTTACAGCCTTTCAGTGATAGAGAGAAACCTGAGATCCTTCTGCTCCGAAAGCACAGGCCTGCACTTGGGCTGCAGGGGACACTCCTTTTAGTTTTTAGCAATATAGGTGGTGATTGTGTCCCCTCAGAAGACTGAGTTATTACTTTTGCCAGTTTGTTATAACAATTGCAAACTTTGAATGGGTGCTAAAAAAAAAAAAGACTTAATTTCTTTGTTTAGAATGTTACTTAATGGTTCAAAATAACCATTCTTGCACCAAAGGCTGAGCTCTTTAGCTACATGTTCCTGAAGGTGCAAGTGACAGGTCATCAGCTTTCTTACTCTAGGGAGGCAGAACTAACAATTGTACATAGCGTTAGAATATCAGTTAGGAAAATAGTTTTGATTAGTGGGAGAAGAATTGTATTTTGCTGTTTGGGTTAGTAATTCTTGCCTCATAGTTGCTGAGTATTTAACTTTCTAAGAATTTGATTTTAAAGAGGCTTGGCTTTTTATTCCTTTTGGGGTTTGAATATATAACTGGCTGCAAAGCTGAGACCAATATTGGTCCTATAGTAATTTAACTTGTTAATCTTTAAAATAAATGGTGAATAGAGTTACAGAAAACCTCCTATTAAAAAAAACTCCTTGCAAGTCAAAATTCTGGAAGGATTTCCAGCCCACATTCAGCCACACAGAGAGGTAGCTAACCGCCCATGGCTATCAGCCAGGAGCATGAAAGCTAAGCAGATATACAGACTGTGTCTAAGTTAGGATACTGCTTCTAAATTCCCATGTTTGCTATTGTCCTTTCACCTCCACCACTGGAGTGAAGGTTAGTGCATTCAGGGCTCCAGATAGCCACTAACAAACTAAGCACCATAACATCTGACCCTGATCAGAGCAGTGTTTGCATGAAAGAGTGGTTAAAATGCTAGTGGCTGCCGGTGCCTTGGGTATCTAGTGCTCTAACAGAAGAAGAAAGGGCTGACTGGGTGCTATGGGTAATATTTTTTGCAAATAAATTGCTTACCATCACTTCAGGTTTACTGTCCCATTGAGATGAATAGAAGGAGTTCACACTTCTCTTTGGAGCAAATCCTGCCCCTTCCTCCATTCTTACTGAGGACATTACAAAGCCAGTGAAATTCTACTTTCAAAAGGATGGGGAGCCCCTGTAAGAGGTGCATGTTATGAAGCCCAGCTGGGTTGCCCAGTAGGGATTTGGGTTTGGGATTGTAGATCCACTGGCCATTCCACCCCCTGTAGTTGAAGTGTTAGTGGCACAAAGGGTCCTAAAGGATGCCCCCCCCCCCGGAGGGGGTACAAACAGACCTCTCAGTTGTTCTCCAGAGTCTCAGCTTTCATTTAGAAGAACCCCCAAAAGTCTAGCTATTACGGTTTCAGAGAAAACCTTGAAAATGTGACCTTCGTATAACCAATGCAGATTAGTATGCCTGAGTTTGCCGAGGGCCTGAAACAATGGCTCCAAGGTTGACCTGCCCTGTTCGTTTCAACAAAGGCTAACTCGGAGGCCAGGACGCTTTAAATGTCAATGTCGTTCACTGTGTCACTGCTCATGAAAGCATAGATCATATAATGAAGACCAGTGTTTCCTAAAGTGTGGGTTGTGCCCTCCTCCCCAAGGATCCCACAAAAGATTAGGGGCGTGGGGGGTATGCAAACTAAGAGGTACAGACTCAGCTTCCAAAAATTTGGGGAAGGCTGCAATGAAGCGCTGCTGAGTAGCTAGCCGGGGCCCTAAAGAAAGCCCGGTAGGAGCTTTTCAGGACGCAGACTAGCGGTTGCACATGGTGTGGGCTGTAACTCAAATCTCTTGCTTGGCAAACACTTCCGTTTGTTACAAAGCAAACAGCACTGCTGTGTTTTTGGACCTGTAATACATGTTCAAATGATTCACCCATGTGTTTGTATTACCTATTTAAAACAAATTCAGACTCTCCTCCTGCAGGAAGATCCATGCCATATAATGTGAAGGCCTTAACTTAGATATCGGAAATAAAAAAGCTGCTGCCAGAGTGAAAGCTGAAATGTGCCACAAACTCAAGTGCAAAAAAAGTACGTAATGGAGGTTGCGCACTTAAAATGAAAGTCCCGAGTCCTACAACTGGATTCACGTGGACAGACCATTCTGCCCTTGTGGGTGTGATTTCTGGATTGGGGCTTGAGTCAGGAACTGCTGAAGTTAATGTTCTTGCAACATTAATTTGGTGAAGTTGCTCATACGTGGCTCTTTCTATTTGTTCTTAAGTGTGCAATTTAATATATTAAACTACATGACTTTTATACTTAAGGAAAAGAGGAATAGGGAAACACCACAGATATACTGTGCAGCCAAGTTAATGCTGCTGGAGGAACTTTTAACTTGTAAATTTCCTGCCTCTTGGTCTTTGGCGGTGCAATCCTAACATTGCCTTAACACAGCTTTTAGGTTTTTGTATTTAATTTCCAAGTCTTTACTAAATTAAATTGGGAGAAATTTCCCTTGTTTGCCAGCTTATGGGCCTCCATTGGCCAATACACAGTTGGCCTCAATATTTAAATGCCACCAACTGCACACTTAGCTGAACATGTGTGTACTTGTGGATGCTTTCTGCTGCTTATGCTCCAAATGGCATTTTTAAATGCACGCAACTTCACAAACTAACTGCCAAAATCTAATTCAGCAGAAATTCTAAACCTGCATAAAGATTAATTCCCTACTAAATTTGAAACTTCAAAGCTGAGCTGATCTAGAGTTATCTTCCCAAGCACTGCATGAGCAAACCTTGAAATGGTGAGGAAACTGGTGGGGTAGCATAGAAGGCTGGGTATTTTTGTTCACATTTGTAAATCAAAGGGCTGAATGCGATCAACTCAACTCAACCTTTTTGGTAATTGCCTGGATCTGGGACCTTGCTCTCTTGAAATCAATGACAGACTGACTTCACTAACAGCAGGCTTGGGCCCTAAGCAAGGAAAATGGCCATTCCAAAGAAGAAATTTTTGTGAGCGGTTTATGAGCATGTGAAACTAGGGAGTTACAATGAGTTACTTAGCAACCTTAATTACAGAGATCTCTACTGTACCCTGTGGAGACTATCTTATCTAATATGCAGTGATTCATCTTGATGTGAGGGGCTAGTGCTCTTCTTGCCAGCATAACCACCTTCCCTTTAGGGAGCATAGCAGGGCTCTGTATCCCCATGTGCTCAGCAGCTGGATGAAGTTTGCAACACCTGCGAAAAGGATACACACAGTCAAAGTCCTACCCAAGCCCTTCCCCACCACACTCTGGTACCCAAAAGGGCTTCCTTCAATGCCAGTCCAAAGTGTCTGAACACAATCAGGGCATCCTTGAGTAGTCACACATGATGATGAACTTAAATTGGGGTTTAAACTGGTGCAAGCTTGTGACTAGATAAGGCTTCTGTACAGTACAGTTGCCCATCCCCTAGGGCCATGAGGAGATTTATTGTTACTTTTATTGTGATAGCATCTATAAGCCACAACCAGGTTCGGTCCCATTGTGCTAGGTGCTGCACTCATGTCCGCTCTGTGCAGAATGTTAATTGTAGGAGCCTTCCCATTACTTTCTGGGCCTGCCAGTCAAGGACTACTGTAGCTCACGAAAGCTGATGCTCTAATAAATTGGTTAGTCTCTAAGGTGCCACAAGTCCTCCTTTTCTTTTTGCGGATACAGACTAACACGACTGCTACTCTGAAACCTGTCATTATGCAAGGCACTGAATTTAGCCGTATGGAGTGGAAATCTGTCAACTTCATGAGCCACTGCATGCATCCGATGAAGTGGGCTGTAGCTCACGAAAGCTCATGCTCAGATAAATTTGTTAGTCTCTAAGGTGCCACAAGTCCTCCTTTTCTTTTTGTCGTCTTATGGCTTCCCAACCTAATTAGCCCTCCCTTGGGACTCATCTTTTTTCCTTTCTCTCACCCCCATTGGCAGTTCTTAAGAGTTTATCCCAGCTGGGCTTAGCCATTTCCTACTGTGAGCTACATACCGCACACCCGTCCCTGCCTGACTTGGGTGTGCATGCTCCATGTCAACGGAGCATTGTAGGATTGTGATCTCTGCAGTCTTCCAAAGGAGGTTGCCTGTGGTGTTGCTCTATGTTGCTCAAATTGGGTATGGTCTTCAGGCTTCTGGAAAGTTGCCAGTGCAGCCCTGGGTTGCCCAAAGTTTGGGTGCCCTTAGCTGGCTAATAGGCAAAGCCAGTGGTCTCTCTCTCTCCCAACTGAATTCAAACGGATATAGTGCCCATTCGTAGCAGCCCTGCTGCAGCCTTGGCAGAGCGCTCTGTTTAACCGTCAGTGTCGCGTGGCCAAGGCTGTGAGGTGTTGCAGAACTCTCGCGTTAAGGGTATTGCTGTTGGTGGTGACTGATCCAAGAGGTTTTACTTTTTGGGACCCTCTCGTTGACTTTTTGTGGCGTTGCATCACAACCGTTGCTTTTGTTTATACACACACACACACACACACAGACACACAACTTAGTGGGATCCTGCCTGCCTGCCCTGGTGTTTCTGTGTTAGCTTAATGAAAATACTTCCTGATATAGGGTGCGTGTTCTCCACTTGATCCCTTGTGTCACCTCTCCCCACCTCAGAATGGGAACTGCCTGCTCTTGATTCATGCGGGGAAAGCCTGGGTACTTTCGCTGTAGTGTTGGTCTGCTGAAATGCTATGTTGACTCTCAACAGAGATCCTCGTGCCTGTAAAGCAGTACACCATGGGATATCTCTCTGCCACCATCCCCTCAACGGAAGCTCCACTGCTAACACACAAGGAATTGCTACATCAAAGCACTGGTTACTGCCTTAGGGTTGTAGTTAGAGGAGGGGTTGGGGAATTATACTCCTATTCTTGGCTCTGCCACTGAATTGCTGTGTGATCTTTGGGCAAGCCACTTGCCCTCTATGCCTAAGTTTCTCCATCTGTAAAATGGGGATAATACCGACTTTCCAGGGAGGCTGTGAGATTTAAGTAATGTATGTTTACAAAGTGCCTGGAGAACCTCTGAGAGGTAAGAGTGTTAGTCTCTATAGTAGAAGCTAGTGTAACTTCTATACTGGGGTGGTTATCCCATCGTAGGGGCACATGTTAGTGGAGAGGATAGCTGTCCTCAAAGAATAGATTTGAATAAGATCACAAACAATTTGTGATTGGAAATAATGACTTTGAGGCCATGCCTCTTAATTGCAACTTCTGTCTAATTCAGGATGTTCCTCCTCTTTTGCATGCAAGTCTTGCTGATTTACGGGAATTGCAGATTATGGCTGTAGGTGGTTTCTATTGATCATGTTCTGCGAAGGGTGTTTTCTTCTCACCACCGTCCTTGCGCACACATCTGCACTAGCTTCCGATCTTCTCCTGCCTACACTTCAAGCCTCTCCTACTCGCTTTCAGATCTCTGCATGGTTCTGCTCTTGCCTGGGTCTCTACCCTCCTGCATCCCACCCAGCTTTGTGCCTCCTTTCATTTGGAGACTTTCCTGCCTTATAGCTGCAACACCCTCCCAATTAACATGCACACAGCCAACGCCCTCTCCATTCAAATAACTCCTGCAAGCGCCCAACTATTTGACAAAGGCCTTGCAGCTCCCACCATCCATGTAACATTTTGTAATATTGTCCCCATTTGTTCCATCAGACTGTGAACTCCATGGGGCCAGCATTTTGTTCTTTGTTCTGCACACTTTATACTGTGTAATGTGGTGTGTGCTGTATACTTACATCACTAATTAGCACATGAGGTGTTGAAAAGATTAGCCCAGATGAGTTAAAAAGCCAACTCTTGCTCCTTTTGAAGGAGGTTGAATATTTCCTGCAAGAGGTTTGAAGATTGCTGTGAACAGAAAATAATAGAAGGATTTAATGAAAGCAAACTCTCTCATCTTAGAACTTGTAAATAAATGTAACACCGATGAAAGTAAAGGCCACGACGCTGATGAGAGGCAGGAATAGCCTGGGCAGGAAATGCATAAGATTGCTCCCTCCTTCCTCGTGCCAAACACCAAGCTCTGCCAAGGGCCCGCAGTCTTGAGCTGCAGTCCTGCCACCTACTATTCTAGAGGCTGGGGATCTGTGTGGTGACAGTCCTGATTGTGTGCATCGCAAAAACTGGCAAATTGCTCCTCTCTCCACTAATCAGTTTAATTTGTAACCTAATCCAAAGTGGGAATTTGGGTTCCCCAGAATGAAAGGGATTAGTGTCCACCAGTCCCTCGCACAGAGCTCCGACTCTATCGGACATGTTTGATTGTTGTTCCAATATCTTGTTCTTTCCAAAGCATGTTCCCTTTTCTGCTTGTTACAAAGATGTCATAAGCCAGAATGCCGTTCCAAATGTACTCCAGGAAAGAAATCTTGCACAGATCCAGGGTGTGTGTAAAGTAAATGTGATCTAATAGTCTCTACCCTGACTCCTGTGACTTTTAAAAAGCTGCAGTTCATAGCCCAAGTAGCATGTAGATGGTAAGTGATAGGGGGCCTTGTAATCGATGGTATTTTATAGTTAGTAATGCTAATAAAATGGACACACCTTGTACTTTAGCAAACAGTTCAGGTTCAGGCACGGTGGGTCTGATTCTCTTTTGCCTTGCCCGCTGATACGCACCTGCGCAATGTGAGTGTAAAATGTTATCACTCCGACTTGGTAGCATTTTTATATCTCCTTTGCACAGGCGAGGTGGTGGTGGAGACTCGAACCCACTGTATCTTTGTGCATTTTCCAGGAGTGAGTTACAGACCTCCACTGTGCTGCAGGCATGGGCTGCTTTGCCTTTCCCTCACCAGACCCTTCTGTTTACCCAAAGATTCTGCTGTCCCCTGGAGACTTTGAGATAAATGAGGCTGCGTTGTGCGTAGCAGGAACTGCTTATTTTATAATTTATTACTCCACAAATATATGGACAGAACAAAAAAGATGTGATATCTGTCCACAGGAGTTTACACGCTTAGAACAGGTGTGACAAATATTGATAGTTGCTACAGGGGAAGGAGGGAGGAGGCCTAGCACGGTCAGAATGTGGCTGCTTTGCTTAGTAGAGTATCGGTATTGTACGCCCATCTGTTTCTTTTTTCCTAGGTTGGTACTGAAGATTAAGGCACCTGCTCTTCCCTCCTTAGAGTTTCTTTAGGTGGAAAGTCATTGGCTGCCTGATGTTTTGGAGCTACTCATGATTGGGACGCTGAGAGTACCCAGGAAGGTACTTTCTCTGAGGACCCCACCTCAGGAGCAACAGCTGCTCACCGTCTAAGGAAGCCGATCAGTGCCCCTTCCAGTGCGGGGGCAGGCGTCTGCTGCCATGGATACCGAATCGACATACTCGGGATATTCCCACTACTCAGGTCACTCCAAAAAAGCCCACAGACAAGGGTATGGAAATCGTTATTAACAAATTAGTCCTTTAGGCTGGGCAGTGTCACAGTGTCATGACCTCTTCCGTAGGTCATGCTGAAGCCCTTCGCAGACCAAAACACTGTGGATCTAGAGGAGGCAAAGTGTGGGACAACTTTCTCTCTCTCTCGGGACACTAGGAATAGGGCCACGGAAAGTGGAGATGGAAAGAACTCGGTTAGTTCAGTCATTAACTGAGAGAGCTGGATAGAGTCCCCAGATGGAGGACTGACCAGCTTTTTAAAAAGTTCTTGCTATTCCTTCTCCTTTTTTCCACTCCTGTTTGTCTTTCTCAGCTAGGGGCAAAGTCTCTCTTCCCCTCAGCTGCCTTCCCCCTCAGTTAATACCTTTTGTGGGTAATTCAGGTGTTTAAAAAAACAGCTAAAAATCAAAGTTTGTTGCGGCTTATATATGTATTATGGCAGCCACTAGCAGGTTCCATCTGAGATCAGGTCCCCATTGTGCTAGGTGCTGTATGGACCCAGACATTCCCTGTCCTGAAGATCTTAGTCTAAATATTGCTGTCAGTGCTCCCTTTAGTACTACCTCAGCCCCCTTGAGACAGCTTGATTACTGACCCCCCTCTTACCCCCGCTACCCCCCAATCTCCCACTGAAATCCTTTGGGGAGAGGGAGTACTCCCTGAGTTTACACTGAGGATACGTGTGGGAGACTTTCCCCTTCTCCAGGCCTTTTCTGATGTTGCTGGGCTAGGAGGAGTTTGTGACCAGGGATTGAGAAGGGAAGAAATAGGTACAAAGCTTCTAATTTAAGTCCTCTAGGCTGGGGACTGTCCTATACAGTGCTGAGCTCTCTGTGAGCACTGAACTAATGTGCCGTGCCCTGGGGGGACTGGCATGCAAGATGGCACCTTTAAAGTTTGGAAAGAGGGTCATGTTGTACGGGCAGGTGCAGGCTCCTCGGTGGAGCGAGTCCTCTACAATCCTATTGCCAGAAACCATCTGCAGACGTGGGATCTACGTTGGCTCCCAACCTTCTTGGAGGCATAGCAGGTGGAGTTTATGTTCTGGAAGGTTGCATCGCAAAGGTGACTGGCAAGAGGCGAGGGCACCTCTTGATTTACAGGAGGTTAATGAAAGTGGGTAGATCTCACTGGGAGGGCTGAGTCTGTGATGCCTTCTGGTGAATGGGTCCTGTAATCTTCTTCTCCCCTTGCCTTTATTTATGGGAAAGGAGTCGGGACAGGCACAAATCGCCGCGGAGTAAAGATGGCAGTAGGTCAGAGAAATCAGTCACCATCCAGACGCCTCCCGCAGAACCGCTGCTGGGGAATGATGCCTCTCGGACAGAAGAGGGTCAGGTAAGGAACGGGAAGCAGATGGAGACGTGGATGGGTGAAGCGTGGGCTGTGGGACAGCATTCTGCTTTGGTGACTGTCTTTGCCTGCCTGCGTGCTGATGGAAATGTGTTCGTTGCACTCTTGGTAGCAGGCAGGTATGGCTCGCGGGTCCCTTTGGATCATAGTTAATGCTGTTGGGTTTTTTTTTCAGGCCTTAAACTGCTTTGCAAAACTCTCTACTTATAGGGACTGCATCACTTCACCTACCACCAAGATGCAGCCACTTCTGTGGTGGGATGTGGTAACAATTTAACAGAGCACAACACATGATTTAAAGATAAATATGAAGAATTGAAATGGTCACAGGCTTTTAGAGAGGCAGAATGCAATGATCCAGTTATACCTCCACGCTTGTATTAAAAGGTATGGGACCTTTGAGCTTACAAGCTGTCAGGACTTTTGTTTTGTCTCTTCTGAAAGCATCACTTTCAGTAGTACAGTGCCCTGTCTGGCCACACTGAGGGCTTTCGCTCACTATTGATTTCGAAGAGCGCCTACTACTGAACCACAGGTGCTTTGTGTCCTGCCAAACGTACCAAGCCAGCTGTTTTTACCACTGATCAAGGATAGTTACCCAACCCAGCCCACTTCGCTTTTCGGCTGAGCAACATGCCATTTTAAAAAATATTTAGACCTTTTTAAAAAGAACTCTTTCCAAGAGTAACAGAACAGGCGACCAAGATGCTGAGTGGAGGGAGGAAAGCAAGAGACAATGTACAACAAATATAAGAAAAAGGAGTGACGGCAAAAAATTGAGTCCATGCAGTAGGTATATGGACACTAGGTCAGGCAAAGAATGGAAAGATACTGTTTCTATATTACATCTGGATCAGAACAGAGGCCCTTCTATACTGGGAGCTCCACAGTTTGAAGCAGTCATACTGCGTGAATAGTGGCCTTAAAGAGCTGTGACGCTTCAAGACAAACTTGGAATAGTGTCTAAATAGTGTTTCAGTGCATCCTATGTTTCGCTCTTCATCTGCATGCACTTTTTAGGTTAGTACTGATGTCTTACACAAAACCAGGAACTCTCTCAGGGAATCAGGGCCTGTCTACACTTAAAATGCTGCATCGGCGCAGCTGCACCGCTGTAGCGCTTTTATGAAGATGCTCCTACACCAAGCTCTCCCGCTGATGTAGCACTGTCTACAGGTGGGGAGAGGGAGGGGGGGAAGCGGGCGGGTGGGGGTTAGGTTCGTATAACTACTTCACTCAGGGCTGTGGATTTTTCACATCCCATGAGCGCAGTAGTTATGTAGACCAGACCTCAGTCTGCTGCCTCTTCCCCGCCAGCAATGTACGCGTTAATAGTTGTTAGAGCACCCAGATGCCACTGCAGAGAGTGCCAAATGGAGGTACATAAATAAACCTTCTTTGTTTTTTCGGACAATAGCTTTCACAAACTGCCAGTTAAGCAGTTGTGAATGGGTGAGTTTGTGTCAGGTGGGGCAAAATATGCTGATGAGTTCTTAAGAAACAAGTCTTTATCTTCATGCAAATCTCTCTAGTAATGTAAACTAAAAAGCGAAGAAAAATACAGAAACAATACAAGAAGGATTGTCTCTTAGCAACTCAAAGACATTATGCTCCGGCAGCTTTTCAGCACAAATTTTTAGCCCGGTAGCTCCACTTGACTGCATGAACTCTTGATAATGCCATTTAAAATGGGAAGAACTGTTAGAGCAGCGAGGCTAGGAACCAGGACTTGTGTGTTGTTCTGTTTTAGGCTTTAGCCCTGGCTTGCTGTGATCTTGGCAAGTCAGTTCCCCCTCTGTCACTGTTTTTCCATCTGTAAAATGGGGGTAATTATATTGGTCCACCTCACTGAGTGGGGAGGGGTTAAGAATCGACAATGCCTAGATCATCATATGGAAGGTGCTAGCAGAAGGCAGAGTACTCTAGTACTGCACTCCATTTGAGAACTCATTAGGCCTTTCCAGGGCCTGTTTTTACAAAAAGTGTTAATGTTGCTGAGGCTGTTTCAAGATGCTGGCTGTGGTTGGTCTCTCATTCTCCTTTTAAAACCTTAGTGCTTTAGGCCCAAGATTTTAATGTCTCAAATTGCACCAGAAGTGAAAATTCTTGGATCTATTCTAAACAATTATGCTGCCTCAGTCTGCTCCTGTTACAAGGATTCCTTTAGACTTAATCTTTTTTATAACTCTTTTGAGAAGTGATTGTGATGATTTTATTAGATACTGGGCTGATGGAGATGGAGATTAGATGGAGGCCCTGAAACCACAGAACGAGAACAACGCAACATCACTACCTCTGTCAATTAACTTAAGCCTGTTTGTTAAAACACTTTTGTCAGCATATTTCCATGCAGAAGCCCAGAGGGTTTTCTCCTATCAGTCACAGACACACTTGCACTGGGATATCTTTTTCTCTTCCAAAAACCATGTTGGGGTGCTAATGACTGACTGGGTGACTACAAAGGCTTAAGGTGCTGCTGGGTGGAATGAAGGAATCTACCTACTGTCTAGAAGCTTTAATGCAGTTTGGAATGCACTGGTGTAAATTGTCAAGTCTTCAGAAGTCTGAGTCAGTCCCTGAACAGCAGCTCCACGTCAGATCCATATATACAAAGATAAAGAGTTAATCTGACCTTGTGTAGGTGTGTTCATGGAGTAGGAAGGATCTCTGTGGCAGAAGTTCTCTGAAGTTGGAATCCTTTTATTGCTGACTTTCAGACAACTTTATTGTAGACTGAAATTTGACTCTTTGGCAATTGTCCCTACTTTTCAAATATGCTGGCTTCAGGTTGAACAGCTTTTGGACACATCCAGTACTTTAATATAGGAGCTCACAAGTGTTGTAGAATCCCACAGAGTCACATGGCCCAGCACCTCAAATTACTGGAGAGTTGGTTGTTAGCTTAACAGACATTGGCTAAAACAGTTCAGCAGAGGATGTGTGTAATGTTTCCTCCACTAGTGAGGGAGACTGAGAAAATACACAGTGAAAGTGCAAACCATGGATGAGGTTTCACTATAACCATAATTGCACTCAACTCATTGCTGACCATTGAAACAGAATTTCTCTTGCAGGTGGATTCTGCACTGCACTTATAAATACTTGCGGACTGGAAGAGCACTAGTTCTTGCATTTACAGAATGTTCTGTATCTGCAGGAGGTGGGCTCCTCTATTTTTAACTTCTGGCTGTCTTTATCAGGGCTTGTTCTCCAGATCTCTAAGTAGCAGGAGCAAATGCTCCCAGTCTTTCTCCCTTCATGAATCCCCTTCCTTCCTTCTACTCACACTCACACCGTAACATATAATCTTTGTTGTCCCTACAGATTGGGCAGGGTATTTGATTGTCTTTCAGGGAACTGAAAGGAAAGACCCATGCACGGTAATCAGCATGTAAAGTTGTTATGAAGGCCAAGACTATAACAGGGTTCAAAAAAGAACTAGATAAATTCATGGAAGTTAGGTCCATCAGTGGCTATTAGCCAGGATGGGAAGGGATGGAAAACCATGTTCTGAGTGTCCACAGTCTCTGTTAGCCAGAAACTGGGAGTGGGCAACAGGGGATGGATCATTTGATGATTGCCGTGTTCTGTTCATTCCCTCTGGGGCACCTGGCATTGGCCACTGTCGGAAGACAGGATCCTGGGCTAGATGGACCATTGGTCTGACCCAGTACAGCCGTTCTTATGTTGAGTCATCTCTCCTGGGGCTGTAGATGCAAGAAAAAATTCCAAACTCGGTTAGACCATTTACCCCTGCTTCCCACGCTCCCACGTTATTGTTGAATACATTTTTGTGGGATTCTAAACCTGCTGTTCAGCTGTGTTGTGGCAGTTTCCAATCCTCTTTGGTGACCATGTGGCCCTTTGGGTTCTAAACGCAGAATGTCAGGAATTGATATAAACTGATGTTTCCTTATTCTCTTTCCCTTTCAGGATGACAACTGGGGTGAGACCACAACAGCTATCACAGGCACCTCGGAGCACAGCATCTCCCAGGAGGACATTGCCAGGATCAGTAAGGATCTGGAGGACAGTGTTGGCTTGGATTGCAAACGCTACCTTGGTTTAACAGTGGCTGCTGTCCTTGGACTCCTCGTCTTCCTTACCCCCGTTGCCTTCATTCTCTTACCCCAGATCCTGTGGCGGGATGAACTGGAGCCATGTGGCACCGTCTGCGAGGGACTGTTCATCTCTGTGGCTTTTAAACTCCTGATTCTTCTGATTGGGACCTGGGCTCTGTTCTTCCGTCAGCCGAAGGCGGATATACCAAGAGTGTTCATGTTCCGGGCCCTCTTGTTGGTCCTTATATTCCTGTTTGTTTTTTCCTACTGGCTCTTCTATGGCGTCCGCATCTTGGACTCCAAGGACACCAATTACCAGGGGATAGTGCAGTATGCAGTGTCTCTTGTAGATGCTCTCCTCTTCATTCACTATCTAGCCATTGTGCTGCTGGAGCTGAGGCAACTGCAGCCCATGTTCACGGTCAAGGTGGTGCGGTCGACAGACGGAGAGTCGCGATATTATAGCTTGGGGCACCTGAGGTAGGTTGAAAGTTCTTGGGGGCAGGGGAATGTCTGGAAATCTGTGTCAAGATCCAAGTGCAACAGCAGAGAATGCAATCCGTTGAGCATGGTTTTTTTATTGTGATATCCAGTGGGTTTCTCTAACCTTCCCCACCCGAGGCTCTCTCAGTCCTTCATGAAGAAAAGATTAAACCTGTCAGCTCCCCAGTAGGGTAGGAAAGGAAAGGAATGTTCCGGTTTCACAGCTAGTGGAACAGGTACAAAGGCTGTGATTTGCCCACGGTAAGGGCCAGTAGAGCTGGGGACTGAATGCAGATCTCCTCAGTCCCAGGCCTGTATTTTAACCTCTAGTCCTTGCCTTCCTCTCTTCTCTTCCTATGAAGAGCCAGCATTGGGACTGCCTGAAGAATCCCTAAATGCTCCTGCATTGGGTAGCCAGGAGGAAAGGGGTCCTGTCTGTAAGTGATCAGCGGTTGGTGAGATTAGAATTTTTTTCAAACCGATGATTTGGCTTGTCAAGTCTGTGATCAAGACGGCGGGGGCTATGTTCAAGGCTCGTCCTGTTGTGCGTCTGGAGCCTGACGCTACTTGATGTGAGGGGGTTCTGTTTGCATGCCCTAGGTGCACAGATGAGCAAGCTGTGGCAGCTCCCACGATGTGGCACTAGCTCCTTGTGAAAGAGCTGCCCCAGCTTCTCCCTCCCCTCTTAGGGTAATTGAAGACACGCACTCTGTAGTATTTGTTTCCGCTGCTGTCAGCCCCGTGTGTAAGCTTTGGCTGCCTTTTCAGTTGCTCTATATTGTTACTAATCTGCTTAGTTTGGTTTCTGGATTATTTGCTGCTTCAGGTGGTGGTGGGTGGTATGCTCTACTTTATAGGTGTCCAGGTGGGGCCATGGTGCCTAAAAGTTATTAGATCTTCTTAGCACTCCGGCACCTCCTAGATGTCATTGGATACCCTTAGTTGTATGACTCACGCCTGACAGCCCCACCCTTTGTGCTGAGGTACCTGCCTCTCTCAGGTGTGGGAAAGGCCAGGTCACACTGGCTAGAACTTTTTTGTGGGGGAGAAGACTTATTTCTGGTTCCCTCACCCCATGAAACTGATGGCTCCTCAGGCTGGGGAAGGGAATGACTTTAAAGGGAAGATGCTATCAACTAGTGTCTGGATTAAACATCTGTCAAATGTATCCTGTCCAGATCCCTGTGGCACACACAGATCTACTGCAGATGGAGAGATTAGTGTCTGCTGGTTTAAATGAATATATGAACAGTCTCCTGCAGCCTGTTAGCAAAGCAATGGAATTGCTTTGAAGTAGGGCTTAGTGGTTAGAGCAAGAGCCAAGGAGTTGGCATTCTTGGTCCTCGTTCCTGGCTGTGCTGGTGACTCATGTGACTCTGAATAAGTTAGTTCAACTCTTTGCCCCTGTAAAATGGGAGAAGATACCTATCTTCATAGAGGGTGGTGCATTAGCGGGGCTTAACTTGTTGTTTGTGAATCACTAAGATCTGTAGGACTACACTGTTGTTATCAGCATAATTAGTCTATTGCCTGTATGAGAGTTTAGATCACATAATGTTAAGATTCTTCAGTGATAGGTTCTAGTGTGTTTATCAGACAAAGGACCAAGACCCTTCAGCCCAAAGAGATTGAAGGGTAGCCACCAAAGGAAGAATTCATCTATATACTAATGCTTCACACACTGGGATGTGAAGATGCCATTGTTACAAGAAAAAGAGTTCTGCATTTTTAAAAATTACTTTTGTATCTGTTTTTTCCTAAAGGAAAAAAAAATGGAATTCTTGCTTTTGAGTAGACAATGGTGGGAAATCCTAGGTTTGTATTCATAGACAGTAGGGCTTCTGTTGCAAACATGTTTGAAACTAAGCTCGTAGATGTGAATAGTCCATTGACTTTGTGCTTAAGGTTAAGCACCTGCATAAATCTCAGCAGGATGAGGCCTAAAGTGGTAACAGGTCTTCTATTAGAGCCTGATATATCTGGCTTTTTTTGGAAAACACCTAGCTGCACCTAACTATTCTTTCAGTGACATTTAACTGGCATGGTAACTGAAATAAATGGACTAACTTCTCATCCTAAGACCAAGCAGTTTACTCCTGTCTTCACTTTGTCTGTCTTTTTCCATCTCCACAGTTTTGAGCCCCGCTTCTCCACCTCTACCCCCTTCCCTTGAGTGTCTAGCATGCTTTTTGGGGGTGGGCTGGGGTTGGGGAGAGCTTTCAACAGATCTCCTCCTAATGTTTTCTCAGAACCCTTCCAAACTGAGCTGGTCAGTAAAAAACAAAGTTCTGTGGAAAAATTTCAACTTTGTCAAAACTGAAAGTATCTGGAGTTTTGTTTTTTTTTCCAATGGAACAACCAAAATTCTGAGGCAAGCAGACACTTTCTGCAGAAAGTCTTGTCACAAACCTAATTTTCTATCAGCAAAGGTTCAGATGGAAAGGTTCCGCCAGCACTGGCTCCAAATGAGCGAAGGAATGGAGAGGAGCTGAACTTGCCAGTAAGGACTTCTCTCTACCCCTGCTGAGCTCTGGCAGGCTCAGGTCACTTCTCTTCCCAGAGTGGTTCCTATTAGCAGGCTGGCTGAAGTGCTGACAGAGGGACCACGCCAATTCCAAAGATTTCAAGTTTAGCTGCCCAGTTTAAGATCCTCCTGGCCTGTGATTTTTTTGTTTGGGAGAAGGGGGTTGCAATGCAGGTGGAAGGTGGAGTTGTACCCATGATTGTGCAGCCAAACCTAAGCCCTGTTTTATTGGGTAAGTTTATAATGCTGGCTGCACTGCTGGTAACTGTGAAATCACTTGAGGGATGCAGAGGAACACAACATGAGGGCTGTTTGCAATCCTGTTCAGCAAATGCACGTGGATACAGAGAGTGAGAAAGAAAGAGGCGAGATGAACAAAACTCAGAGAAAGGAAAACTGAGGAACATGCAAGCGAGACAGGGTAAGGAAGCAGATGGTAGGAGTGAAAGCAGGAAAAAGGGGTGTGAACAGAAAGGGGAAGGGAGAGAGAAGGAAAAATAAAGCATTCTCTATCAGCAGGACTGATATTCTGGGGACATTAAAAAATTATGTCCCTGTTTATATCACAAAACCCAAGCATAGGTTGCTCTTTCAGGCCAGTTCCTCCCAAAATTTTCTGGATGCCTCATAGGTTGTTAGCAAAGGCCCCATTAAAAAACCCCTCCCATTCTTAGTCAGGCCGCTAAATGTATTCTCTTCCTTTCAAACGGATAGACATTCTTCTTCCCTCCCTTTTCTCTCCCACCCCCCACCCTTCACCCTAGAGCAGTGTTAGTCTAGACAGCTCAGGAAAATGAATGGTTTCAGAAGCCCATGGTGATTATTAGTCTGTAAACATTGACAGAATTAGTGTCAGGCGCCTGCATTATCTCTGAATGATTTGGGTTAAACAGGGCCATTAGTGGGTCATAGAGTCTATTTCCACCCTGTTACATCGGTGGGATGCCCAGAACAAGGAGCAGTGGAGGAGGGACAGGTGACACTGTTCAGTTGCCCATTTATATGGGTCTGTACAATGCCAGGTCAGTGGTGAACACCAGACTGCCCTAGCCTTTCACCTCTTGGGACATGGACTCACCTCTTAAAACAAGCTTCCTGTAAGATTAGTTTGTGAGTCTCAATCTAGCTTTTATTGGACATCCGGCCACATTTGCAGTGTGATCCACACAAGTGGATATACTTGGCTGTCTTTAATCCAGAGAGGCTGAGTACTTGGAAGGGAATATAGCAGAGGTGGCCAAACTTACTGACCCTCCGAGCCACATATGACAATCTTCAGAAGTTCGAGAGCTGGGGCTCGGGGCTTCTGCCCTATGGAAGGCACCTGCTGGGGCTTGGGGCTTCAGTCCCGCTCCTGCTGAAGCCCTGAGCCCTGGCAGGCGCACCCTGCGGGGCTGAAGCCCCGAGATCCCCTTCCCCAGTGGGCAGAAGCCCCTATCCTACAACCGTGCTACAAGGCAGAGGTCCCAAGCTCCCCTCCCTCCGGGTGGAGGGGAGGTGGAGAATGGTGGCGGGGGCATGGAGGGCTCAGTGAGCCGCACTTCAACTGTAAAAGAGCCGCATGCGGCTTGTGAGCCACACTTTGGCCACTCCTGGACTATAGGTTTCAGAGTAACAGCCGTGTTAGTCTGTATTCACAAAAAGAAAAGGAGTACTTGTGGCACCTTAGAGACTAACCAATTTATTTGAGCATAAGCTTTCGTGAGCTATAGCTCACTTCATCGGATGCATACTGTGGAAAGTATAGAAGTGAGCTGTAGCTCACGAAAGCTTATTCTCCTGGACTATAGTCTCAACTAGATCCTTGCCCATCCCTTTGCAAAGGTAGGATATAATCCTTGCTGAAAGCTATATGGGATATTTAATCTGACTTTAATTGTAGTCAAGAGGCCAAGAAAGAAACTGGTTGTAGCTACACCCCCATCTGCTACTACTCTGCCCATCCCTTCTAGACACATCTCCCTCTAGTAGTCATTAATGCCTCCAGGTTAGAGGTGCAGTTGCTCTGTTGATCACTGTGTATGCAGATGCAGTCACCACATCTAGGCCTATATGAAAGGCCCCAGGGAGAGCTTGCCACCCACTGTAGCAGAAGATAATATAACCGTGGCATACGTGCCTAATGTCCACCCACACCTGTGGACTGTAATGCAAAGCAGGAGTAATCTGTGCTGGCAGAGCTGTATAGGGAAAATTTATGCAACCTCTTTTCTGATTGTATCCAGTACAAACAGCTTCTTTCATCAATGCTCAAACTTAAACAAACAGCAGGCCAGGCACTTGTGAAATTGCTCTCTGAGTTTTCAGCACTTAATGATCTCATTTGAAAAGCTGCCTCTTGTATCCAGGCTCCTCCAGCTGGCGTAGTGGGCGTAGGTGGAGTGTGGAGGGAGGGAAACGGATTGAAAAGGAACAAAGGGGTAGAGGGAAGTAGGTTCCTCAAACCAAAGTCTGCATGTTTAAGCCTTTCCTT